TAAATATACACATATATTAAAATATAATTTATTACTATTGAACAAATATTTCCGACGCTTTCGTGGGCAACAAGTTTACTTCTTTTTAAATTTAAGCTACTCCAAAAATTGCTACGAATCTGAATAATGTAATAATTATATAATGTTAATTTCTAGCACTTTAAGCACTTCTGAATATTCTTGAAAATTTCGAAACATCCACGAGGAAATTGAACAAATAAATTCACTTACGATGTTACCATTTTAAAGCATTGGAATTGCAATTAAAACTTACTGCAATTACAATGTTTTTGTTCCCCGGCCTTCATCTAGCAACGAACTTCTAGGCAGGAGTGTAGGTTTCGTTTGTTATTTCTTTCTCGCAACAACTTTGTTGCATTCCAACGCCGTGAGTGTGATTCCATGACGTTTATGAGCGTTTGAAACTTCAACTTGGCCAACGAAAAGCGACGTGGAGTCTCTCACGCATTTTCCGAGTTCGAGTATCAATAATGCGGTCATTGATATTTTAAAATACTCCACGACACAACCTACACACGCGTCTTGCCAACCTTTCGAAATATTGTACAACTTATAGCAAAATGACTAGCTTTCTACGTGCGATATTATCGTCTCAAGAATCGTCACGAATCGCCTCAAGATTTCAAGATTAAAAAAAATTTTCATTAAACAAAAGATGCGTGCGCAACGATTTCGCGCGAATATTCGCTAGTTGCTTGATCCGAGATCTCGTCTATCGAATAATAAGTTGCGCTTTCTCAGTAACTATTGGTTTGAAAATTGATTGTGAGCTTGAGAGTTGGAGAGTTTCGTGGTCTTGATTTGCCTTTGGCTAATTAACAGGCAGCCATCGTTAGATTATCAGACTCTCATGCGTTTGTGTATAAAATTTGAAACCGTAGAAATGTAGAATATGCGTTCAGTACGTTCAGTAACGAGGAAAAGGAATTTTAAGAGAAAAGTAGAAAAAAATATGTCATATATATTTTTCATTTAGAAAACAGAATTGTACTTGTCGAGAGCAATCAATTCTATATCAGTACGATAAAGAATATAATGTTTAGCAAATTATCGGCGTTTATACTGCCTCTATAGTAAATTTTCTTTTATCGGCCACTGTAAATGGTTCACAAAAGTTAGAAGTTATTTGTTATAAGCATAGAAAGTAAAGAAGACGAAATGGTCGGATGGGGAATCCCGACTCCCTTGGAAATCCCGGACACTCTCGAGAATCCTGTTTCAGGCGCCTGCCCTGGTTCAGAAAAACTCTTATCCCGATCTCGAGCCTGATATTTTCAAGTTCTTGCCTTTCAAGTTGTTCCATCCTTAATGGATGTCTATACGAACGTGACGAGTTATAAATGCGTCTTCGTTTGCAAGCGTGCGCATTGTGTTACAAATTTCTTAATTATTATTACTTGTCCCGTTAAAGCTATGAATTCCCATTAATATAGAAAAAAATTGGCGAAGAATGCATTATGAATGCATTGAAAATGAATGATAATAAAATAAGAAGTAACAATACAAAGAACAATAATTATAATTATCGGTGACACATCGTCGATCTTCAGATTATTATATTGTGCAAGTTATTATGTCGCGAAAGGAAATAATTCTAAAATTTAAAAATTATCAGCACATTGCGGAATTTTATGTAAATTCATATTTTTGTAAATACCATAAAAAAAAAAAAAATGATGAATTAGAAAAAGTAGATTAGTTACTGTACTTTGAAATTATCTTTCTTATTATTATACCACACTTTGACTTTATTATTTTTGCCTACTATATACATTTTATGCCCTCAGATTTCCTACAAATGCAATAAAAATCCGCATTCTAGTCGTCGGTTGCGCGGTCATTGATAAATAAGATAAATTGTAAAAGTTTAAGACTAGATCTTTCTAAGGCGAAAATAGAACAAAAATATCGTTCAACATATCATTTGAATATGAATGTAGACTAACAACGTAATATATAATCAAAACATAATGGCTACAAATTATCCAGAGTGCTTGTATACCTTTATTTTCCAATGAAGAAATCTTATCAGATTCTACACTTCATTAAATTTTCCATATATACATATGGATTCAATCAATTATTACGTAAATACTGCAACAAATACGCTGAAGTGTAACTACTTTTTTGCAGCGACTGTAATTGACCGATCACAATAACAATGATTCCTCAACAAAGAAATAGTACGAGGTAGTATCGAATCGAGAACCTAATAATTAGATTGCACGACTTCGATGCATTTTATGAATGTAACCAGGAAAATAATAAGAAATAAAATAGAAAGATTTGCTTTATCCACTGTGTATCATAACAAATACTCGATCTTGAGACATTTTATTCCATTGTCGCATGTTTGCATGAATTTCTGCAACTTCCAATTTCCCATAAATGCACGAAAATTCGCAGAGTTAATAATTCGTAGTAATAAAAGAAAAAAAAAAAACATCGAAAGGTGATACTTATTCATTACGATTTTTAATTACACTAAAAGGACTGACGTGATTCGTTATCAGCCTCGTCTCTGTTTGAGATGTTACATATATATTTCTGTCTGCACGATGCACAAAAGATCCGCAATCTACCAACAGTATGTAATCACGACAGGTGAGAAAAGTCGGAAGGTGAAGTTGATTGAAAGCTTCAATTTAATTATAAAGATCCGACGCGAGATTGTATTGTCTGCCATAGTGACGAAACTGGTTTTCGATTTTCAGTTTAGATAGGAAAGGTTAGATAGAAAATGTTCGGAGGCTCTTAGCAAGTTCAAGTCGGGTGCGTGTGGAAATATTGAAGAATATGCACCAAGTAAACATCGGCCAATTAGAATTGCCAATAGATCGCACTATTTATATAATCTCTATTTACCGTTTGATGTTCCTCGCAGAAGTAATATTTACTGTGCAACGTTGCGAACAAATACTGTCCACTCGTTTCTTATCGAGACATGCTGGATTCTAGAACCTTTTTTCTTACGAGACCGCCGCATTTTGTATTGCAAACGTATCATACCAAACATCTTCTAGTCGTAACTACTTTCAATGTCTTCTAACATCGATGTATTTATTCGCTTCTCGGTCTATTACTTTGTCTAAAACTCGTTCGTGTTTTACAGCAAATTGCTGAATATTTAAATTAACAGACTGAACAAATTGATGAATATTTGATTTGATTGTCGCGCGATATTCAACGCATTGTCAGCGGAATATTTAACTTCTACAGAACATTGCCTCTTCACGTGTTTCTCATCATTTTCATTTCAATGAGAAATGTTATTATTACAATAAAAAAGTGCAACGAAACCGTATTTCTCATTTCATGGTATTATTGTATAACTTAGGTTCTTTTCAATTTCAAATTTGTCGACCATATTCATCATATTTCAATTATTATAAATTATTTACAGTGACAGTCGTGGAAATAATATAGGTTAACGAATCGATTCATCAATAGAAGGATTTAAATACCACGGACTAGATCATGAATCTTTATGCAATATTATCGTGAACACAATTAGAGAATTTTTATCATATATCTTTATATTTACTACATATTATCTGTGAAATTCTTGTATCCTCAAATTAAATGCATAAAATTCCGTTTCTCGTGATTCGTTTGTTTTTCACGACAAAGAACAAATTTGCAAATATCTGAGAAAACACACTGAACGATTTGTTGTTTCATGACGATTGATCAATTGGCAATCCGTTTTTCTTTTTAATAAGCTTTTGCCTGGCTATCAACTGTCAATCAGTTTTATGCTCTATCAATTATCATATTTTATAACAGTAAATTATGTTTTCTATGATCTAATGACCGAGATTCGTTAATTTTTCTTCTTTTAAATTTATTCTTCAAGAAAGCATTGGTTTTCTCAAATTTCTTCAACAAGCTTTATATTTTGGACGGTAGGATGGCAAATCGAATTGAATACGCAGGTTCTTCACGATAAATTCATTTAAGCATATTGCAAAATAGATAGGCAAAATGTGGACATACGATCAATGGCATGTTCCATCACCGTTGCAATGTAATTATCGATCCGCTATTACTACAGTCACAATGTTTAACTTGACAAATATGTGTTTACGACTCAATCGAACTGGCAAAATCATGATTCCCGATCTATGTTGTTAACGTGTGTTGACACTCGTCCAGAATAATTTCTCGATTAACTGTCGCCATCAAAACATTTTCATTAGCAATTTCCTTTCCGTAATCGTTTCCTTTCCTTTCTCCTTTTCTTCACGAGAAGTTTGAAAACTAATTTAACTTGAACCGTTCACTACTTTTCCCCGGGTTTTAAAGTACTCGATTCAAAAAATTAATTTAATTTTCAAGATAGTTGCTCGATGATTTTACTGTGGTACGCACGAACGATTGCAAAATTCACAATTGAAAATGAGTACCAAGCACAGTGTGTGATCATTTCTTTTAAGATGCATCCGCAGATAATTTGTAGACATGTAAAGATAAACATATATTATCGATAACACTAGAGAAACTTATCATTTCACACGTTAGAAAGGCTTATCGAATGTTTGGAAACGCTCGAATATTCTCAGTACATTCAACGCTTCACTTTATTGTTCTTCTTGGGAACTATGAACTACATATTTGAAATGTTCAAATCATTGTATCTCTAGTCCTATGTTTTACTTGACTGAAACTATCAATTGTATTCAAAATCACTTGGACAAATGTAATCCCTAATGTGTTGACGATGTTAACCTAAATCTTTGCCACGTGTGTTACAATTTATTACCTCATCACGTGCGTTAAGAAAGAAAGAAGAAAAAAAGAAAAGAATTCCGAGTGAAGTTTTATAAAAAAAAATAACAGATAATCCTCAGATTACGGTGTGTCACGTGTATCTCGGGGTCGTTGTGATGCAAAATCGCGCGACAATCGAACGATCGAAGTGGGTCTCGCTGCGATAAACGAAAGTGAAACGACGAAGAAGAAAGAAACGTTACTCTCACCTGTTGTGTGCGAGAAGAGATAGTCGAATCAACGTGCCTGATCCCGACGGGTTATCGATGTGTCAGAGACAGGGGAGAATCTTGCTGACGAACCACGATCCACGATCGGTTTTCTTTCACTGTCTTCTTTTGGATCGTTCCGTTTCGTCCAAGGACGTCCTGTATTCGTTACCGGTTGTTACGATGAAAAACAAAGAACGAAAGAAGAGGAACGTGGTCGTCGCTCGAGATGAACACACGGACGCGGATTAAAAAAAAAGAAAAAAAAAA